TAGGTTTTGACCATATCACAACACTTTCCACTGTTTTTAGTTGGGAAGTACTCACAAATAATCACGTTTCTTCTTTTTTTGAGATATTTTTGTGCTCTGTGGTCCATACTTGTCATGAATTTATGATTATGCTGATGTTGGTTCCTTGTTTCAGAGATGACAGGCATGTGTCATGACCTTTGACTGAAAGTCCAATGGCATTAAAAGACATACAAGTGGCAAAGAGTTCAGAGAGTAAGTGTTTAGCATCATTCTGACATTCAACCTTCTTTCTCTTGATCAGATTCTCATCCTCCATCCTCAGTGAGTGTGTGGTGTGTGTGTGTGTGTGTGTGTGTGTGTGTATACACACACACTCCTGTAGAGGACTAGAGAATGTTGTTCAGTGCCTTCCTCATTCACTCTCTTCCTAAAGTTTCAGACAGTGTCTTTCTCAAAACCCAGAACTCCCATTTTAGGCTATAAAAGTACACAGTAGACCCTCAGACAGTGTTCTAATTTTCATTGGTTGATACGGATTGCAACTCAGGTTCCTCTGATTATCCAGTACAACATTCATTGACAAGGACACTTCTGTAAACCACAAGTGTATACATGGATCAATTCTCAGTTAACACTTTTGAGAAAAACCCTGCTGAAAACCAGACTCTACTCCTAACCTTACCCTTATACCTTAGTCCCTGCTTCCTAGAATGAAAATCCTGTCTGTTCCCTTCACTGGATTTTCTCCCCTAATAACACCACAGGAGAGAGGATTCACTTATATACTTCTAACCTGTCCTTCATTGATGCTCACTACGCAGTTAAAAGTTTTTCTTGCTTATTGATTGAAACAAGTCAGTTTCAGGGCTCATGATAAATCCCTCAGCAGACATACCATGACCTGACCTTGTGATATTCCAGGAGGATGAGCTCTAAGAATATTCATTTTTTATCCCAGGAGTTATTGTCAACTTCATAGGTATAGTAGTGTGGCAGACAAAATTGGCTATAAAGTCCCTATCTAGAATCTAGGCTCAAAAATGCATCCTCCTTGCACAGGCAAGTTTGTTTCTTTCAGGTACCAGTTTGCAGAGGACAGGACAGATTCCAGTCTTGTCTAATGCAGATTTCTGAGCTAGATACTTACTCATTCCAGATTCCAATTTTCTACATCATTTTACTTAGTCAATACTATTTTCTTTGGACCCCAAAAGTCTCAGTTATGCTTAGTCTGTGCCCTTTTTAGCAGCGATGAGATAGAGGGAATTTGTAATGTGTTTGCACCCAGGACACTCAATTTAATAAGTTTCACAGTTAACATAGTGTGATGCCTTATTATCTGTAACTGAAACTGATATACATTGAAACATATCACTTAAAAATCCTTTATCATTGTCTATAAATAGAATCTAGTGGCCACAGTGCAATACAATAGTTGATATCCTATAAGAGTGTAGTTTTCCTTGTTTAATATGAGTTCTCTAGATCTAATGTAGAGTAACCAAGGACCATGACAGAATTACATCCAAAGAATTGACTATAAAGATTCTCTTCCTGATCAAGCTTGGTATTGATCAAGACCCCTTGAATGTGGGTGTCAGTGAGGAGGCCTAGGTAATTTATTGAGCCTTGGGTAGTAGATCAGTATTTTTCCCGGGTATACAAATGGACTTTGGACTCCCATCCATCAATGAGAAATGCACTCTCACCCTGAACCCTTTGGGGAGGGTCTAGGCCCTGCCCTGGATGAAATGACAGACTATGGACACGCCCATGGAAGGCCTCACCCTCCCTGGGGAAATGTGGGAATATTGGGGGGTTGGTGGTAGGGCAAAGGAGGAGGGAAGGGAAATGTAGAGGGACCTGGGACTGACATGTGAAGCAACCTTGTTTCTAATTTAAATTTAAATTAATATATATATGTATATATATATACATATGTGCTTGTAATAGGCGCTGTTGACCTCTTGTTGGAAAAGCAAGTTGTTTACACACCTAGTCATATAACTAGTCACAGAATCAGATGATTATCTGTATAAGCAAACTAAGAGATTCAAACTAAGCAAGCAGATAATGTACATCAATCCATCTCTCACTTCCATTGCTACTACAACAGGTTATTTTCATAAAATTCTAAAGATGTCATTATACCCCAAACCAAGTAAAAAGGACTGCATCTCTAAGAATATTTCTGCTATGGGAAAAGAATAAGGATCTGTTCATTTCACATTCAGTATAAAAAACCCATAAATTATTAGCCCTCCTTTTTCTATTTTTATCACTTTTCCAGAACTCACATTATGATAGTTGTTGTGCTGTTAATATTCTTCACTAATATATTTTTCCATTTTATTTCCTATCTTTGATCGTTTTTCAAAAATTTCTGATGTAATTTCCAAAATTCTGTTATGTTATGGAACACCAATAAACTTCTCTCTGTTGTCAATTAATTTGAAAGTCTGCACCCTCAGGAATTTCCTTCAAATTCATGTCCTATCTGCCTGTGATCCTCCTCTGTCAGCACTTTCCCATGATCACTAACTACTTTGATAGCTGTTCTGTAACCATTTCTACATTATCACTTGAAAAACTTCATCAGAGAAATCTTTTTCTCATTCTGCATTTCATTACCTTTAATGTGTATTCTGGGAAACCAGGAGATATGAGAAGTGATTAATACTTCTTCATGTAATTTATACCTTCCCAAATACCACAGAGTGTCATTCTATAATGAAATCTTTCTTATTTTTTTCATTTAGAATTCTTTGATGTTTCTCTGGCATTGTCATTGGGGAGATAGATATATCTCATTGTATTACTGGAATAGACTTCAAGTACAAGATCTCAACCACTGGTAAATTTTTCATGGTACAATACTCTTTTTATCTAGTAATTGATATACATATCTATATAGTCCATTTACGGTATTGCTGCCACAAGCTTAGAGGTGGAAATATATTTCAATACATGAGAGTCAAGTAGTGAGAAAATGCTTGACAATGTTTTATTAATTCTTTTAGATTTCCACTCACTGAATTTTGATCATATTTATCCCCTACTTCCCTAACTCCTCAAGATCCCCTCCTACTCCCATGCCTGCAAATGTGTGTCCTATTGAAAAATGGATCCAATTTTCAGCGTCTACATGTGTCAGTGCAGGCCATTTGAAGGAGTGTGTTCAACTTACCAGGGAGCCATAAGCTTTTATAAAATCCACTTTCCTCAAGGAGTTGTCAAATAATGTTTCATAGGTCTGCAGGAAGGCAAGTATGTATGAACATGCATTTTAAGAGCATAGCATGAGTGAATGGGATAATAAATACTCAAGAGAGAGAGTTGTGAAACATAAATGTATTTATTAAAACATGAAACAGTTCACACACTTGGTTCAGAACTGCTGATTCCTCCTAGTAAGTTAGAAATTATGCAGCTTAATTGAGTTTGTTCATTTGTTTTCATTATTGATGAAAGCCAGAACTTACAGAAATGTAATAATTTATAAATCAATATGAAATATTGATAATATCTTTTTATGGGTATTTATGTCTCTATATCATATATAGACATAATTTACAAAAATAAATAAAATATGTTTGCCACACACATATACATTTAGCATAAATGTGACCTAGACCTAATAAAAGCACACAATTAGAGCTGTTCATTACACCCAATGACTGTAGTTCCAGCAAGTTGAGGGAAAAGGTTCACTTAAGCACAAGAATTCAAGAATATTCTGGAAAACACAAAAAGACACTCCCTCCATATAATTATAGTTAAATTGAAAAACAAATTATCGTCATTCTTTTACTGAAACCATATTAACAGTAATTCTTATGGACTCTTTTAATTTGGCAATTGAGCTTAAATTCTGACCCAGTATTGGTAATTATGTATAAGCTATAAGTACAATGTGACACAAACATGAACACACTATGGAATATATATATATATATATACACATATATATATAATGCAAACTATATTAAAACAAACTAAAAAGGAAATAAACAAATGTTTGCTTCTTTCCATCTACACTGTTTGGTATTTGTTCTTCTATGCCATGGAGTTTTTAATCCTTCATGTTTTTTATCATAACTGTGAACTCAAGAATGCATATTTGTAGGCTGGAATGATTTGGGACTTTCCTTTCATACTTCTTTGTATTCAAGTTAATTCATATGGAAAAAACATAATACACTATGTTTCTTGTATTCTCATATCGTATTTCAGGTTCATCTTCAGGGTAACTTTATTAGGAGATATGAATATGTTAATTTAATTTTGTAACTATGGGACTTACAATACTAAGGACACCCTTAAAGATATATCTTAAATAGAGTATACCAACTTAACATAGAACACACCAACAAGTATTTAATTTACAATTCTGGTACACAAGAAAATTAGGGGAAGGAGAGTTGACTCAGTGGTTAGGAACACTTTCTGATCTTGCAGAGAACATAAATTTGGTTCTGAGTGCCTACATAGTAGTCCATAAACATCCTGGAGATCTGAGGCCTTGTGGATTTTTCAAGCACTGATTGCACATGATTAAATTATATACTTGGAGATAAATACCCTCACACATAAAACAAATATTTTACAAATGAGAATGTAAAATATCACGTCTTACAGAAACAGTAATAATACGGCTTAACCTCAGCAATATAAATTATGAGGTTGAAGAAAGTAACTTTTTAAAAATCTTTTCCTTCTGTCTCAAATTAAAATCTTTGTCCCCCTGATGTGTAAATGATGAGTGATATCAACTTGGAAGTGGGGATTATATTCTTTCTCCAGACAGGAGTAGGCATCATGGGAAACTCCTTGCTTCTCTGTATTTATGGTTTCACTTTGCTCACTGGACAAAAGATGAGACCCACAGACCCTATCCTCAACCAACTGGTTGTTGCCAACAACTTACTCCTCTTCTTCAGAGGGATCCCTGAGACAATGTCAGCTTTTGGATGGAAGGATTTCTTCGGTGATGCTGAATGTAAACTTGTTTTTTATCTTCACCGTGTTGCCAGAGGGGTTTCTATTAATACCACATGCCTTTTGAGTGGCTTCCAGACCACCAAACTTTGTCCCAGATTCTGTTTTTGTAAGAAGCTCTGTAAGAGATGCCCAAGATGTGTTGGTGTCTGTGGCTTCTATTTTTGGATCCTGCAACTCTTGGTAAATATGTATATTCCTATGCAAGTAACTGGCCCAAGGGGCATTCAAAATATTAGTATGAGCACAAATTACAGATACTGTTCATCACCTGTACCAAAAACATATATATTTTTATTAAATGCAGTCTTGTACTTTGCCATTGATGCTATATGTTTGGTGTTCATGATTTTGGCTAGTGGATCCATGGTCCTTGTCCTGCACAAGCACAAGCAGCAAGTTCAACACATTCATAGTCACAGTCTCTCCTTGAGACTTAGCCCAGAGGACAGAGCTACACACACCATTCTGAGACTGGTGACCATGTTTGTTTTCTTCTTTGGTCTCTCTTCCATTTCAACTCTTTGTCTTATTCTTACCAGGAACCCAAACAAGAGGTTGATTGATGCTGCTGCATTCCTAGCTGCATGCTTCCCTGCATTCAGCCCCTTTCTGCTCATCAGTTGTGATACCCGTGTCTCTCACATCTTTGATATGTGTTGTAGAAAAAAATCTCTCTCATAATATGGACAAATATCTGTCTTCCTTATGGTTTCTACCATTGACCCACTGCTTGATTTAACTTTTTATATTCCATTTTAAATGTATATATGTTTTGCCTGCACTAAACTTTTGCTGGTGACTTACATGAAAGAAGAGAGTGATAGATCCTCTAAGGCAGGAATTACAGAATGTTGTGAAGCGTCATGAGTGTACAGTAAATTGAACCCAGGAACCCAGGAAAAGAAGCTACTGCTGTCTTTCTGGCCTTTAAAATCTCTATTGAGGATATAATTCTTATAGGACTGCCTTTATATGTAACTTGGACTGTTCCCCTTGTAGCTTTTAAGATTCTCTCTTTCCTCAGTATGTGTGGAATTTATTTTCTGAATCAATCTATTTGGTATTCTCTAAGTTTCTTATCTTTCTAAAGGAATGTTCTTATTTAGGTTGAAACACACCTGTTCTCTATGTGCTGTTCCCAAGGGTGAAAATATTCCCTCCATCACATTACTGATAAAGAATCCCTCCTATTCTGGTGGCTGACTGTGCACTCTCCTTATTTTTTGTTGTACTGTCTAGAAACTCTTGAAATTCATTTAGAATTATCTACTGATATCTGTGGCTAGTTCCAGGTTTTCTGTGTTATTGAATTTAATTTTGAAAGTTATACTGTCCCCCTAAACCTTATAGAATATTTTCCATTTGATAGTTTCAGTTTCTATTTATTTTTAGAATTAATAATGTTTTTGAGAAAATATCTCACTATGTAGCCATAGCAGTCCTGAAACTCACTTTGTAGCCTGGGCTGGCTTGGAACTCTATAGAGAGATGTACCTGCTTCTGTCTGTAGTGCTCTGCTATTAAAGTTGTGTACTACCACATCCAATTGTATTTCAGTTTTTCTTAATCTTAGTTTTAATTATTACATTTTAAAATTTAAATTAGAAACAAGCTTGCTTCGCATGTCAATCCCAGCTCCCTCTCTATGCCCTCCTCCCCCACCCCACACCAAGCACCTAGCCCCCACCCAATCCCCACTCTGCTCCCCAGGGAGGGTAAGGCCCTCCCTGGGAGATCTCCAGAGGCTGTCATTTCATTGGGGGCAGGGCCTAGGCCCTAAGAGAGATATGCATGATATCCCAAAGAAGGGGAACTGAACAGGATCTCCTGAGAAGATTGGAAGCATGTGGGGAGGGAAGAGGTGGCTGGAAAAGGAGACAGAGAGAAGAGGAGGGAAGAGGAGGACATGGAAGAGAAGGAAGTTTGAGTCAGGGGAACTGTTTCAGTTTTTCAAATAAGGTGTTTGATATATTTTGAAGATAATTCAAACAATAGAAATTAGACAAGAAAAAGTCTAGGACATAATATTATTAAAATAGGCAAATAATACAATCTAACATTCCTTATTGTGGACGACATAATTCTGTATGTAGTATAACCTATACAATATACTATGTAATGTTTAGATATAAAAATTACAGCCGGGCAGTGGTGGCGCATGCCTTTAATCCCAGCACTCGGGAGGCAGAGGCAGGCGGATCTCTGTGAGTTCGAGGCCGGGCTGGACCGATAGCCTCTGAAACAATACAGAGAAACCCTGTCTCGTAAAACCAAAAAAAAAAATTACAGAATAATTACTAGCCTTCATATATACCAGAAGTATACTCTTGGTGGAAGAAAGAATCAAACTTTCCAATTTTCTGTACCTCCCTCCAAAGTGAGTACCTACGAATACAGTTAAACAAAAGGAAAGAATCCCTTTACTCCCCAAATTTCAAAACCAAGATCTCAAAGAAGATAATACATGATACAATTTTACTGTTTTTAGACTGGAAGAATTAACATGGGAAAAGGCAAATACTATCAAATTTAAACATTATTCCTTGGGAACTCCAAGGCAGGAAAACTAATTCAGATATTCACTCCTCCCTCAAATCCTCCAAATCCACTACCCCAGTCTCATTCTCACCTCCTCAGTAAACACCTTCTAAAGCCTCGCTTCTCCCTTCTCCCATCTCCCCATTTCCCTCCACTGGATCACACCCGTAAATCCCCCCTTCCCCCGCCAAACATTGCTCTATCCTAGACACTAACTTCATTAGCCACTACCTGAAAACCCACAGTCCACTCCAGCCAGAGAAGCAGGCAGGCAAGCTGCAGACTTTCACCCTTCCCACTCCTCTTCCAAGTAAAATGCCCATTTCATCCCCAACTCTGGAGCAGAAAACATGTTTCTGCCTCTCCTTGCACTGTGCTTTCATTCACAGGGGATTAAGCAGATCACAATAAAGCACCATGGTTTTCTCCCTGTGTGGTCGTCTGCAGACTCTGCTGCCCTTTAGCACATCCACAGCCATAAATGCAAAAATTCTAGTACCTTGGAAAATATTTTACCTTGTGGACATACCTATGAATACCTCAGAAGAGTTCTCCTAGAAGAAAACCCTCAGCCACCTCACTTTCCTAATGATCAGAGATGAAGTCAAATCTAAGGAACAAAATGATCCCCCTAAAAATGACAAGATCAGATACCATCACCTTGAATCACAATTTCTTAAACCCAAGAGCCCAAATGAAGTTGGAAAAGCATGACAAATACAGACAGGATATAATATGTCTCCACTAGAGCAGTGAGACCATTTTGATGCTGGCTCTGAATATTCCATCATAGGTAAAGAACGTGAAAGAGACCTGAAATTAGCCTTTACAAATATGATAATGGTCCTTCCAGAGGAAATTAGTAAATCCCGGAACAAGATTTATGAAAATACCGTGAAAGATAATGAATAGAATGATTCAAACTTGAAAATGGAAATGGAATAATAAAGAAACCCCAAACTGGGGGACATCTGGAAACTAAAAATTTAGAAAATCAAGCAGGAACCTCAGCAGACAGCCTCACCAATAGAATGAAATATAGATAAGGGAGAATCTAAGGTGTTCAAGAATACATAGTAGAAACAAACTCATAAGTCAAAGATTTATAGGAATAGATGAAGAAAAATAAACCCAGGTAGAAGGCAAAGAAAACATATTTTCAACAAAATACTAGAATAAAATTTCCCTACCTAAATAATGAGATGCCCATCAAGTTAAAAGAAGTATATAGAGCACCAAAGAGCATGGAGCAGTATATAAAGTCCTCGCGGCACAAATATTCAAATTATTTAATGAAGAGAACAGAGAAGGAATATTAAAAGCAGCAAGTGAAAATTATCAAGCAAATATAAAGGCAAGCATATTAGAATAGTGTGTTGTTTCTTAAGGGAGGCTCTGAAAGCAGAAGAGCATGAACAGATGTGCTAGAAACTCAGAGACCAGACCTGCCAGCCAAGACTAACATAAGCAGCAGAAGTTGCAATTACCATAGATGGAAAAAGTAAGGTATTCCAGGGACAAACCAATTTAAACAATATCTATAAATCTAGCCACACGGAAGATGATAAAGGGAAATTTTCAATTGTAGATGTTTACTCACACCCTATAAAACATAAGGAATAAATAATCCCAGGCAAGCAAATCCAAAGAATTGGAAACACACACATGAGCAAAGCATGCACCTCACATTGGCATCACTCAATATCTAGAGTCTTAATAGCCTGTTAAAATGCACATACTTACAAATTGAATGAAAATCAAAATCCATCCTTTATATGCATCTAAAAACCACATTTGAACTTCAAGAACTGACATTACATTAGTGAAATAGTAGGATAAAAGATAATCCAAGAAAACTGGTGTGAAGGCATGCTGAAGTAACCATTCCAGTATTTAACACGGCATATTTCAAACCAAAATTATTCAGTGTGGATAGAGAACTAAATAATATATGTTCCCATACACACAGATAGAAGTTGATTTCAATAGTCCACTACCTCCAAAAGACACGCCATCCAGGCAAAAACTAAAGAGAGAAGGACTAGAGATAACTGACTTCACAAAGCAAATGGACCTAATAGATGTGTTGGAACATACAAGTCAAAGACAAAGAATATGCCTCTGTTACAACACCTCATAAAGTGTTTCCCAAATAGACAGCAAACTTGGACACAAATCAAGTTTCAGCAGATGCAAAAACTTGTAATAATAAAATTCAGATCATCTGACAACCATGGATTAAAGGATAGCATCTACAACAGAAACAATAGAATGACTGAAAACTGAGCAAATGACTATTGAATGAGAATGCTTCAGGACAAACTTTAAAGAAGAAAGTAAAGAAATTTGATAATTTAATGAAATTTAATGAACAGCACATGTAAACTTATGGAACACAATGATTGGGGTTTCCACAGACAAGTTATTGCCACTGAGTATCTACAATAAAAACAACAAAAAACAAACAAAAAAAGGAATCAATCAAAGGAAAAAAACAAATGGACTGATCTCGTACTAATCATTTAACAGCACACATGACAGTTTCAGAACAAAATAATGGAATCACACACAGAAGAGAAGACAGGCAAAAACACAAAGAATTAAAGAAACAAAACCTTGGCTGTTTAAGAAAATCAATAAAATTTACAAACTCTTATCTAATGAATTAAAAGGCAGAAAGAGAGAATATAAAGAATAACAAAATCAGGCTATTACAAATAATGCTGCTATGAACATAGTGGAACAGACATCCTTGTTGTATGAATGGGCATCTTTTGGATATATGCCTAAGAGTGGAGTTGCTGGGTCTTGTGGTAGGTTTATTCCCATTTTTCTGAGGAATCTCCATACTGGTTTCCAAAGTGGCTGAACCAGTTGGCACTCCCACCATCAATGGAGGAGTGTTCCTCTTTTACCACATCCTCTCCAGCATAAATTGACATTGGTGTTTTTGTTTTTAGCCATTCTGACAGGAGTGAGACAACCTAGATGTCCCTCAACCGAAGAGAGGATAGAGAAAATGTGGTACATTTACACAATGGAGTAGTATTCAGCAGAAAAAAACAATGGAATCCTGAGATTGGCAGGCAAATGGATGACACTAGAAGAAACCATCCTGAGTGAGGTAACCCAGTCACAAAAAGAGAAACATGGCATGTACTCTCTCATATATGGATTTTAGACATAGATCTGGGGAATGCCAGCCTACAATCCCATGGCCAGAGAGTCTGGGAAACAGAACCAAATTCAGTGGCTGATGGAAGAAGAGTCAGACTCCCACGGCTAGGCACTGAGATGAACTCAAGAAAGCCAGTGACACAGAGGGAGGACTGATGAACAAAGGAGTTCAGACTGGGCTGGTTTAACCCCAGAAAGAGCTGACCTGACAAGGGTCAGTCCTCCCTCTCTGTCTCAGAAGTCTCAGAATGGCATTAAAATACTGAAGGATTCTACGTGAAGTCCTTGTCTGTAAATGGCTTTGAAGTAAAGAACCATGGATGGTGAAGAAATTTTGGTTTATGCAGGTATTAAACCAACAACAGGATAGACACTAAACAGCAAAACCATATGCATACACATCATATACAAATATGTATGTGCTTGTGTATGTATTTATGTCTGTGTGTGTGTGTGTTCAATAAAAAGAAACATTGTTTTCATTGCTTCTTGAACAAAAGTAGTTCTGTTCAGAAAGTGCTTTCCTACATCTATATTATGCAGCATCCTGTCTATAGTTTCTCCTAGAGTTTCATTGCTTTAGGATTCACATTTAAGCTTTGATCCATTTGGAGTTATTTTATATACAAAGTGATAGGCTCAGGTCTCATTTCATTCTTTGCATGTGGAAATTCAATTCTGCAAGCACCAATTGTTGAAGAGGATTTATTTTATCCGACATATACTTTTGGCATACTGTTTAATATTAAATGGCTGAATTACATTTCCTCCTATTTGAATCTCCAATTGGTCCCATTGATTTTCATATATTTTCATATGCCAACAACATATTGTTTTTATTGTCTCTGTAATATTTCTTAATATCTGGAATGGTATTTACTCCAGCATTTTTCTTTCTGCTCAGGATGGATTTTTATAGCTAGGTCTGTTGTCGTTCCACATGAGTGTTATTTTTTTTTCTGTTCTTATGAAAATTGAGATGGGGGCTTTGATTTGGATTTTATTGCATTTGTAAATAGATTTTGGTAAAATGGACAGTACAGAGTCATGAGTTTATAGCGTCTGACCATGCAGACTATTAGTCTTTCTCAGATAAGGATATTTCAGTATGGCATGGCACTCCTCTGGTATTAGACCTTCATTATAGCACAGAAATTACACAAAATAATGATTCCCATAATGTAGGGAGCCTTCCAAGTACAGTCTCAGACCTTACAATACATAGCTCTAAATGCAACATGTCAACACTTGGAAGACACCAAGGAATGCTAAAAGCTACTACTTAGTCTAAAACTGGGCAAGCATGGGCCCTGGGTTCAGAGCAAATGTTATTTGAGTCATATATTCTCTGAGGCATGATGATACCTTTGCACAATAGGCTGTTATCTATGGTCAGAAAGGTTCAGTGGCTTCATGGGTCATTGTGAAATCACTGTGTATATCCACCCTCTTTTTACCACTTTGAATTTTAGACATCCACTTGATATCCAAATACGTCACTGGTGTCTATTGAATCACTTTTCCACACAGGAATCTCTTGGTTGAATCAGTGATTTCATTAGTTTAAGCTCCTTATCAGTGACTTTCCCAGCCTAAAGAGCACTGTCAATCATCTGTATCTACTATTCACTATGACTCCTTCCAACTCAAATATTTTAGAAGATTCCCTATGTTCTCTCTATTCTACTGACAATTATTTGATTTGTGACTCAATTTCATTCATTTACAAGTCCTCTTTACAGTGATACATACTCTTGATTCATGAGTCTCTGTCATTTTCATTGAGAATCATCTCATCAACTCATGTCCACTTTTGTCTTAATTTTATTCTGTGCATTCTCTCCCTCACAATTCATCCTCTTATAAATATAGCTCAAATGGAAATGGGTTGTGTTTGCAGGTCATTACTTAATTATGGTATCATATAGAAAACAGTTTTGAAGATACAACACAACTTAAGGTGATCAGTCATGGTGTGCCTCTTGCATATATGATGCTTGTGTCCTAACCCTTGAGTGTTGTTTTATATTATGCAAGCTTTATTACATTGAGATGTGATCTATTCATGATCAGACACTCCATGGAATTTATAGTGAGGATTTTATTGAAACACTTTCTGACATCTGGGCTGGTAAATGGATTTTCTCATTTGATCGTGCTAGTCAGAGAAGACATACACATCAATATCACTGATGTTGGTAAAATTGCTATCAAATAGTAGCAAACAAGGATCAGAATTATATTAAAACCATCCATCATGTTGGCCATTTTGAATTGATTTTTTTGTAATAGGTGAAAGATTTTAAACCTCTTTGTTTCTGGTATTGATACAGGCCAGGGCAGTTGTAATGGGAAGAGGGAATCCTGACACACAGGTTCATTGATAGTAACTCTTTCAGTATTCATAGTACTCTTTCAGTAGTAGAATAGACTACACAGAGATTTCTGTCAAATCATCAAGCATCCAAATCACGTTATAGAATGAAAGCCACAACAATGGCATTTTTATTGATAGCATTTTGCTGGATTCTTTGCACATTGGGTGAGCAGAGTAAAGACTCTCACAGGGTCAAGTTGAGTAGCACAATGTGCATCACACAAGAGAATTGGATCATATAACTGTGGACTAAATCAGCCAACAAAACTTTCTTATTCATTTAAGCTAATCTTATAAAGACAAGTGGCTAACAACATAGTGTTCTGTATAGACAAATTGAAGGTGACTGTTGAATAAATTCCTGGATACCAAGGAAAATATATCATTTTCATTTTTAAAATGAGATTACATTTTTTGTATTTCTTATACAGACCAAACAAAACTTGGGTATAATAGAGTAACGATATAATAGAACAAATGGTAAAAATGATGGAAAGCAGAGAGAAGTAATGCGATTGATGTTCACCAACAACCAATTATGATAATATAAAAGAAAAATGTAGCCTCTTAAGATGGAGGAAAGAGTGTGAAAAGCCAGAAAGATAAACACAAGAATAAGAATATTTTGTGTGACTCTGGATTCAAGAGAGTTTCTGTCGGAACCATGGGTGCTGCGGATATGTTGAACCCTCTGCTTGTGTCTGTACAGAATGACAATCATGGAGACACTGGACCAGACCATGAGCACAGAAAAGAATATTTCAGGGCAGACCACCAGTGCTGCATAGAGGGAAGGGCCAATTCCATCCAACATTACAATGGAGCAGAAACCAAAATCTCGTTTTCTTGTCATATTTTTGATATCAGTATTAAGAAATGTGTATGGAAAAATCAATATGAACAGAATCCAAATGAGGGAGATGTGGCAGCCAGTGATTTTCTCAAATTTGATTTTATGATTCTTCCAACATGATTTCCTGGGACTAATGGTCAAGGCCTGGCAGACACTCAAGAGGCAGGTGGTGCCAATAGACACACTTCTACCAAGTCCTTGCAAGTACAACAGCAGCTTGCATCCAAAATCATTCAAGAAATGCTTAAGTCCCCAAACTGCTATTGTTTGGGGCACTCCTGTAGAGAGAATGATCAAAGCATTGGCTGCCATCATGTGTATGAGTATCCTATCTGTGGGCTTTAATGTGTTTTCTCTGCAATAAAGGACTAGATAGTAGAAAATTAGAGAGATATTTCCCAGAATTCCAACTGTAGTCTGTGATAAGTAAATAAACCTGATTGCCAGATTCCATAAGTCCATTCCGTGCTTTGGCACAATTCTGTTAAGTATAGGGATCTGCTATTCCTCTGGTCAAATAAATACTGAGAAATATTTACAGCCTTCAGTGACAGAAGAATCTTTTAATTGATTGGGCTACTATGAGACTGAAACACAAGATGCTAAAAAAAGGTATAAAAAAAGATCAGGTGTTCAAGTCCATCCCCAGCCACTGGAAAGACCTTGTTTGCCAGGAGTTTGACAGGAGTTACTTTGCATGTATACTATTGTGAGAATGAGCAATTACTCAGAAAGCACATAAGATGGAAGGAGAGCCATCATGTTTCATAGTAAAAAACATTCCCAATGATGTGACATTGACCTATGGAAAACAATGAAATTTCACAACCTATAGAACAAATACACTATTTCCAGAATAAGTTGCTATTTTAGTCATCATGTAAAAGAAAACAATTTAAATAATGTTGACAAAAGTTCAATGTATTAATTCTAAATTTATATCTCATCTAAAAATAAAAGATACAAAGTGACAATTTCATAATACCACTCAGAATACACCTATGGTCTTTTGAGAAGTTGTGTGAAATCCTCTTTATGGAGGTGAGATGTCCTTGATGCAGGAGACAGAAACAGCTGTGAATCAGTACCAGGCTCAACCATGAAGTCCTAGGAAAAATCCAGTTGTTACACAAAATAATCAACAGTGCAATGATAGTCACATGAACAAAGAAAAAACTGGGAAGTAGTGGGCTATGTAACTTGGGATCTAAAGAGTTTTAAACGAAATGGAGATATGAGCTGTGCCCTTAGGAATTATCAGATAGTAGCAGTCTCCCATCTCCATGCACTGGCACTGTGGAGCATCCAAGGGATTGGATACATCAGAGTGTAGAAAGCATTCTATTAAGGGTGATAAGACAGACCCGTAAATATCAGTAGCTTATATTCCATGTCAATGTGGATTATTATCTATTGGTGTTGGAAAAATGTGTTTAAGTGGAAAGAATACAAGTTGATCCCAGGTAACTAAAATGTGACACATGAGAGAGTTAAAATGAGTTTCCATGAGAGAAGCCTTGGAAGGAAAGAAAACACACAATGTTTGAGAATAGAAGGAAAATAATGTGCATGCAACAGATAATCTGAAGTAGAATTGGAGAAATGGATAGATGAACAACTGGGTCAACCAAAAATTTAAATAGGAAAAAGGCTTAAAGAAACTAGCTATATTTAAGCTAACTAAAAAAGGCAATAAAATGAAAAAAGAAAAAAGTATTAAAATACATCTTGATACAAATGCTACAAATATTGAAGTAAGTCCAATATTTGGAATTTCTTGAGCATATAGAAGTAAAAACCTGCCCCTACTATGATAACCCTCCCCCCATAGGACTATACCTCCTCCAACATTGCTACACTTTCTAATAGTGTCAATCCATGTACCCCCAGGCATTCAAACACACGAGTTTATGGGAATATAAATTTTCATTCAAACCATCACAAAAAAACAAAGTAAATTCCTGTTCGTAACTGAAGAAATTTGGAATTTAAAATCCATTCATCACCTTGCATATTAGCCACATGTGTTCAGTACAATCTCATGATCAATTAATCAATATATACATGATAGAATCCTGTATACATGGCAACCCTTGAAAATTTTAAAGTGTTGTGTTTTGCTGAATCTATTGGTTTCCAGTTGGTTTTTAACTTGCGAAATTCCCAGGCAATGCATGGATATTACTTTTAAGTCTTAAAATAAAAAAGTGTAAATCGTAAACAAAAGTAAGTCTGATTTAAGCCTGCTGGTTGAATGGCACCTGACATCTATGCAATATACTCATGGATTCAGTATTTGAGTCTACTTTCTCAACAAATATCATCTGATATTTTGAACACTGATACTGACTGATATATGAATTCATTGAAATATTTGTCGGGATATTACCTCAAATATAGTCTTTATTTATGCTTTTGTTGCTTCATCATATGCATAAGAACTTCAACATGACTTTGGATAAACTGTCCAACAGTGGACACATGAAAACAAACACATGGATGCTTTACAAAAGTCCTCATATATGTCATTGTCACATGCAGGACACTGGGGATATTTCTAGGAAATTAGGCCAATGGCCTACTCAACTGCATCTATGAGGATAGAGAAAGCTACAAGTATTGACAAGATTCTTCATGAAAAGACCTGCTGTGGAATAATTGGAGACTTCTGTAATGACAATGACCAGGAAATATCTGTACCACATATTTGAAAATTAAGTACTTTCACTGTTTACCTGAGTTCATTTTAGTGAAGAAGAGATGCTATAGAAATTAAGTAGGAACCAATAACCTCCATTACATGATACCATGTCTTTGTGCAGATCTATAAATTCACTCTACCAATTATGATAATGAATATTTGCTTCACAGCCATTAATGTATTTCACACAAAGCTACTGGTCACATATACTGAACCCCGATATTCCCGATAGTAAATATTCACTTAGTTTACTTCTTAAATTTTTTGTGAATAATGGCAAATAAATTTTTAGGTGTTAAGTAATTATACAGCAGATAGCAGTGACAACTTACAAATCATGTTTATTTGACACCTCTTTGATTTTTATAACTGTCATTATCTGACCTTAGGAACACTGAGGACAAATTACTTATCCATGAAACTGTTTAGAGGCAAAGTAAATGCACTATGGACATGAACATGGATAGTACAGCATAAACACATTGACCTCAGTCTGTGGTCAAAAAGCCATGAAAGATGTTCTTAAATGTATTCACTTCTGACACTCAGGTTATGTTCCCAAATTAAAAAAACTTCACTTTATTGTTTTGTAATTGTATTCTTTTTGCTGTAGGCTGGCATTTGAGAGGACTATAGAGAAGGCTCAGTGGGGCAGAGACTTGCTGCTGGTGTAGACAGCCTGGGTTTATTCCCCAGCACCCACACGTTGGCTCACAATTAACTGCATTCTGGTTTCAGTGTAGACTGACACTCTCTTGTGGCCACAGTTGGGACTGAATACCATAAGGCACACATATGCATTCAGGCACAATCATTCATATATACAAAGTAAAAATAGATGAATAAATGCATCTTTACACAATTAAGTTATCATTTTAATATGAATGTTGACTCCACAGAAAAATGCAAACTGCAAATAAGGCTTACAAGATTGTAAAAAAGTCGTGTTCTAAGTGTTGTTTGACATAATAGAAAATTGCCACAACTCCAAGTTTAATTTCACATGTATAATATGCGCCAAGTATTTATGTCTCCACTGTAAATACGCATTGTTGATATTGCAAAGATAAAGATGACAGAGATAGTCTAACAATCAATGAATTTCTAACACTATTACTGTGTACAAAATGCAATATTAAATTCTAACACGTGATTAACATATAGCATCATGAGGAGAAATTTAAATTACCAAAACCATTTTTTACAATTCTACATGTATTTGGTAATTGTTATACATGTTGTTGTTTTCAATCAGGGCGCCATTATGTAGCTCTGGTTTTTTCTGGAACACCATTTGTAGATCATTTTGATCTAAAGCTCACAGAGACCTTCCTTCCTGTAATTCACAAATGAGATAAAAGTTTTGCACCAGCACCACTGGATTGTTTTATTATTGTATAATTTAACTATTATAATGGAATTCATGATTATTTGAAACTCAGTTGGTACACATGAGATAATTAAGAATAGTCAGAATAATGTGAAACTTTAAGTATTGTCTAATACTAGTGTGGTTTAAAATTAGCTAAGTGGTAGTGTCCAGGCCAGCTGTGTGCAAGGCCCTTTGTTATGTTGGTAACAGCAATAAACATATGAGACTTTATTGTATAAGATTCTGCTCAACATCAGAGTAAGAATAATACAAATGAGAAAACCTTTAATGTGAATCTGGGGTAAATACTGATTGGTGGAACTGAGAGAGAAAACCCAAGTATAATTTAATTACAAAGGAGTGACTGAAAAAATATAAATGGTCTTAATCTTGTGTGAGTCTTTTGGTTTTTACTGTAATATAAATCCCAAACTGAGGGTGACTATGTGTAACACCAGAATAATGCAGGCCATCTGTGAGGTTGCTGAAGAAATATTGTAATACGTCAATATGTAAACGCACCCTACCCTCATACTGTGTTGATTATCTATTAAATATTATGATCCTGGCAGTGATTGTCCAATAGTGATACACTACATTACATTCCTTGTCACCTTTCCACGTTAAAGAGTTTTGAAAGATGTCATTTTACCATTGGCTCTTCACTACAGGCAAATTTACTACTGCTTCTATAACCAAATGATTAACGTAGTGTCTCATAAGAATGATTATTTTTTACTTCAGAAACATATTCATATCCTACATCTTCCCAGGGTTGTGTGCTTCTTTTATTTCCATTTTAATATCCACTATGGAAATTAAATCCTAAGTTTACCATAATAATAGGACTTCAAATTAATGAACACATTATGGACGGTAAGCTGAATTATCATATTGATCTATTGCAATGGCCCTTGAGCACCTTAACAGATAGGTGGCTTGCATTATCCTGGTATACCAACTGTCACCATCCGTGGGTAACTTATATTATACTAAGAACCAACAAGTTGAGGCGCAATGTTTGAACATGCCTATAATCCTCAGTCGCTGCTTAGTTGTGAAATTAATCACGTGACTTCTCTCTATGTAAGATAGATCAGTATTTTCCTCAGATTCCCACTACCAGACATGGGCTATTATACAGGACCCTTCCTTTGACTGACTCTTCTGCTCCAACTGAAATACAAAGTACTCACCAGGTTTCATGCATCTGCAGGATGGTGATGTCATTCTGCAGACCCTGACCCTTAAGAAGCAATTGGAAGAGAGTCAGCTCAAACCTGAGTTATAAGTCATTGAACTCCTGTCCCTCCAGATTTGCAATTTTCATTTCACCTTCAGTGGCAATGACAGCATTGGCTTTGGGAGACAAAATAATTCATGAAACTTTCTCCATTT